GAAATTGTTAGTTTGTGGCATTTGGCGGTGATGAATCCGCTTATGAGTGCGGCTGACCGTCAGAAGTTCTCCTTGCAGCTGTGCAGTTTCCACTTAAGAGCGGTCAAGAAGATATGCAAGGTAGTCGGGTCGATTCCAACAAATACTTCCCAGCAGGTATGTGCCGGTGGAAATGCTGTTCGTGCTGCCGCCGCAGCTGCTGCTACATCTTCGACGAGCTATGGTGCCGGCACCAGTGCTCTGCCGAACATCATCAAGAGGCTGAACCTGGAGAATGCCCCTTTCTTGTTGCACGTATTCCCCGGCTTCAAAAAAGCCATTGCCTCGTGTCATCATGAATGGGTCGACTGCCAGGTGGACATCGCGGCCCTGCAGACTGAGAAGTTGATGATGTATAAATGTGAAGACGGCGTTGACTCTTCGATCGACTTTAACATGTTCTCTCGACTTTGCAACGTTGCCTACGGTAAACCTGACACACAGGTTCTTCCTTTGCCAGTGCTGCGAAACGTGCGCGTACCTAGCTACGGTGCTCACCATAGTTCGTGGAAGGCAGCCACAACTATTGGTCAGGACAAGGTTGCGTCATCTCTCCATTGTAGCGAAGTAGTCGACAAGGCGAAGAGTAACAGTGACATCAGTTCATCATGTTGCAGCTCGCCGCCGCCATCCGTTGCGTACGATTCTCACTTGAGCAGCGGCGACAGCAGTGAAACCAGTACATGCTTATCGTCCCTCCGGGAACAGTTGAATTCTGAGTTGCCAGACACTGATCTGTACGAGCTCGATTTTGACCGTGCAGCTGCGTCGTCTATTCATGAGGACGATACGATTTCGAGTCATGATAAACCGGAAGCCAGCGGCGACGAATGGACTAAGAAATCTTCACTGTACGCGTTGTACAACTCGCTGTTGAGGGTAAAGCCGGAGGACGACCCAATGAGGGTGTCTTTTGCCAGGTGCGAGGCACTGTATGCCCACGGCTACTTCGAAGCCGCCTGTCGATACGCTGTATCTCTCGTCGACAACATCGTTCAGCACCCGCCTGACTTGATGGTGAATATCCCGCCGCCCATCGCGCTAACCGTCAGTACCTGTTCCGGCAACCAACCTATGCAAAAGGTGGCGGACAATGTCGGTAGCGCCAGAAGCAAGCGCAAAAAATTTCTGGATGTGCCACTACTTTTGCACCCGAAGGCGATCGAGGTGAATGACTTGGCTTGTGAGTTGCTGACCCAGGTGCTGTTCTTATTGGACGTCCTGCTGCATGCGAAGAATGAGGCCCTGCAGCACCTCAGTTTTCGCCTCGGCACATTCATCCTGGAACTGCCGCGACAGCCGGCGTCGTCTAAATTTGCAGAAGTAAGCTGCGAGCATCGCTCTTGACTGATTTTTTTGTCTAGTTATACTTTATATAACCGCCCGTCGACAGTTTTGCAACTGCTTTCACAGTTTCTGTTCGTACGGTCGTTTAGCTGCTGTTTATGATCACATCGGACTCATTGCCATACTGGCGGTAACATATATCTTATGCACAGTTTTTTCCACGTTTCGTATCGCATTGAATCCAACTGCAGGAGGTGGAACTCATAAACTGTACACAGAAATAAGTTGGCTCTGCGTCGACATTGTTCAACTTCATTTTATTTACAGTTAATATTTTATGTCCCATAAAAAACACAATCGTATGTTTGCACTGACGCATGGCTTGAGATTTGAAGAAAAGTGAAAGAAATAAGGGAAAAGGTTTATTCGATTATGTTGATTGCAAGAGTTCACATAAAGTTGAACATGTATATGTCGTTTATTGTGGGCATATATGCGTACTCAATATGACATGATCGAATCTTGAGGCTTTTCACCACCTGGTGACTGACACTTGTGATCTACTCGATAGCTTAGGAAATGGTCTCAATTTACGAGTTGGAGCAATGTGCTAAAGAGGTATACCAGATGCAGTGGAAACGAAATCTCACTAAGTAGTTATTTTGCTATGTGTAGATATGCTTTAGAAAATTCTAATTCTAAAAGTTCTACTGGAACCTTTTACTCTGACTACAGCACAAGGTGTTACGAATAATTATGCCGGTTAAATATATGCGGAAAATACACCACAGATGGCAGTTCAAGGGGAAAGGGCGGCTCTTCTGCTATGAATTGCTTTTAGCAGCTGGACCACTTGGCTCCTCTTGAATGAGCATGTTGCTGAGGATTGTTGAAATTCGCTGAACGCGCCTGAGGTTGTTCGTCGTACCCACTGCTAGATTTAAGCAGTCGTT